AGAAATTTACCTTCAAGAAATTGTTTTGTCACTTCACGGTCTGTGATTGCAATTACATTTGCATTTAGTGCATTTGCATGTTATATATATAGTGTAGAAAGCGGCAAAATACATACAGTGTGAGTAAGTCAGTTGCAAATTTTGTTTTTTTTAATTAAGTCGGCAAATTTCACTGCCAAAGATTGAAGAATTTTATACAGGAGATGTTTATGCAACGGTTCCTTCAGTCAACAATTGTTGCATGAGAATGAGATATTTATGAACAGTGAAAATCTATATCTATATTAGCTACAGGATTAAACCAGTTTCAATGTGAAATGACATGTGAAAAAATGAACAGTGATCCTAGGATTCACTCTTTTAAGGAGATGAGTGATGATAAGTCAGCGACTAATTAATGGAGACGAAATGAGGATGAAAGTGGGAGAGAAAAGTGGGGATAAAATGGAAAATGAAAATACGTCCTGAATGAATAGTAACCAACAGATTCGCTCTTTTACTAGAAGAGGGAAAATAATGTGATAATAAATAAAGATTTAGAATATTTGATACAATTAAGATATAATGCATTCACGGGAAAAAAAAAAAAAGTGGCTGATCCTCATTTTTTTTCAAAATATATATATATTTTTTTTTTCAACCACACATTATTCAATAAAATAATATTATCTACAACCCAAATTTTTTTTTTCATTTTTAATCATTCTCTAACAATCTGCTATTTCAAAATATATTTTACACAAAAAAATGAGATTCAAACAGGCTCTATATATTGTAGATTAATAACATCCTTGATGTGTCAAGATGAGTTAAGAGTATATTAATGGCCTATTTGAGCCCCATATTCCGGTGTAAAATGCATTTTGAAATAGCAGATTTTTGAAGAATGTGTGGTTAAAAAATAAGGAAAAATTTTGAATTTGCATGTAATATTATTTTATTGAAAAATGTGTAGTTAAATATAAGAAAGAGAAAAATACATTTTAGAAAAAATAGGGATAAAAAAGGGCTAAATAAAGAGTTTATTTATACATTTCATAAAACTAATAACTTACTACCTACTTATTAATCACAATTTTCGTAGAAATCATAACTCGCTATTGTTTGGTCCTTATTATTTTCAAAATATAATTTTCTCTCTCTTATTTTTAATCACACGTTATTTAATAAAAATAATATTACATGTGAATCCAAAATTTTCTTTATTTTTCAATTTTTTAAGGAAAAAAAATATGTGATTTCTAATTAAAGTAGTAGTGACAACACAATTGCCTCATTCTTTCCTAGTTGAAACAACTGAAAACCATAGAATTGAAGGATGGGAATCTCTCGCCAAATTCAACGGCCCACAGTTTCACCCAAAGCTTGGCTCCCACGCGACCACCACATGGCCCTATATAAACCCCGATTCTGCTGTGCCCATAAGCAAATTGCCTAAAGCAAAAACCACACGCACAAAAATG